GTACGACTCTTCAAGATATTATCCACAATACAACAGTATGACTCTTCAAGATGTTATCCACAATACAACAGTACGACTCTTCAAGATATTATCCACAATACAACAGTACGACTCTTCAAGATGTTATCTACAATACAACAGTACGACTCTTCAAGATATTATCCACAATACAACACTACGACTCTTCAAGATGTTATCCACAATACAACATTACGACTCTTCAAGATGTTATCCACAATACAACAGTACGACTCTTCAAGATATTATCCACAATACAACAGTACGACTCTTCAAGATGTTATCTACAATACAACAGTACGACTCTTCAAGATATTATCCACAATACAACAGTATGACTCTTCAAGATATTATCCACAATACAACACTACGACTCTTCAAGATGTTATCCACAATACAACAGTACGACTCTTCAAGATGTTATCCACAATACAACAGTACGACTCTTCAAGATGTTATCCACAATACAACAGTACGACTCTTCAAGATGTTATCCACAATACAACAGTACGACTCTTCAAGATCGAAATACTATATGGGATAACTGCATCATAAGCAGAATATATATGTGTGTGCGTGTGTTCTATCACTGGATTATCACAATTCTAGAAACAATGTTTCCTTATACCGTGACATACCTACAAAAGGATCATCAATTATTACGATTCTTGAAACAATGTTTCGTTATACCGTGACATACCTACAAAAGGATCACCAATTATTACGATTCTTGAAACAATGTTTCGTTATACCGTGACATACCTACAAAAGGATCATCAATTATTACGATTCTTGAAACAATGTTTCGTTATACCGTGACACACCTACAAAAGGATCATCAGTTATTACGATTCTTGAAACAATGTTTCGTTATACCGTGACATACCTACAAAAGGATCACCAATTATTACGATTCTTGAAACAATATTTCCTTGCACTGAGATAGAACATACAACAGGATAATCAATTATTGCGATTCTTAGGAAAACTGAAGTCCAGAAATTAAAGGACTTATGTGAAGATAGTTCCTTCATACAAGCTTTTCAGAGAGTTCTATAAAAGAAGTAAACCACTATCTTTATTCTATTCTATTATATAAAAACAAATGCATAACACATATAGTCCTTATTGTTTTTAAAGTCGTTCTGTTCTTATCAATTGAAGCATATTCTCTGCTTGGTTAATTTATAATTTATCGACACTGTGAACCGCCATTTAGTGGTAGATGATCTATTGACTCTTTATAAAAAGTGTACAAAACCTTGTAGTTCACAGCATGCATCAAACTAAACAGATCGTAAACAATTGAACAGTCTTTACAATAACTTTATATAGATTAAACCCAGAAAACCAACCAACTATATGTAAATCAAACAGCCGAAAAACTACACTTGGACGAACAAATCTGACACATGTCACAAAAAAGAAAGGGTTGTATCCAGTAATTACCTTATTAATCTGACTGCAAGGATATTCCGTATGATATAATAATGTATGGTATGTTTGATGTACTGATAAAATTGTAAAATTCATTTACAATATTTTAATTTCTTTAACATTGTATAATTAGTAAAATGAGCATTGTTTTCATGTAATATAATAATCAGATAGTCCGGCCCACCAAACGCTAAAAAACAGGTTTCAATATCCGTGACTGGCAGAACACAGATAGCCAATTATGTGGCTTTACGTTTAACAACAAGCAAACAAATCTAATCATTACGTCAGGCCTAACAAGTACCTATTTTGATACAAAGTATCAACTTGCAACAGTCATGCTTATGTTATATTATTATCAAAGTAACATTAGTATTGTTGATTTAAATAGCCTAAAACTCACTTTTCTCTTCACACTTGTATATTTTCTTTACGTTCCGTACTGTGCTTGTTTTGCTTACGTAAGTGTAGTTTATAATTTCTCCACAGGGGACGCTACCGTACAATGACTCCCACAACATTAGCCCCATCTCTCCTCTTGTTATTTTTAGTGGTTTGACTGCTATTTTCTGAGAGTCATACCACAAGTGTATTTCAGAAGTAAAGCCTTATCAGGGAAAAACCCTTGAGCTCATACTATTTTTCTGAGTAACATTATTTTCTATTTTTCTAATCATAAAAAGTAAACACCAATCTTACCTAAGTACTTATCCACATCGTTAAGGTTTAAGAGTGTTTTCAGGTGGCGTTTGGAATAAAGCTTTATCAAGGTAGATAACAAGAGCCACAGCGCAAAATCTAGAACTTTGGTGACTATTAACACAAGTAATCTGCTATCCTAAAGCTTTTATTTGAACTGCAATATACGCGAAGATTAGGTCAAATTTTGTGCAAATAT